AAAATGTCAGGAGCCCTCCTAGCCAAAGTGCTTACTTGCTTTTGTGACAGACCTTCCAAGTAACCTCTCCTCTTCTACAACTGAAGGTCAATCTCAAACAAACCAGGAGAACTACTGAAAAACAATGAAGATCTTTGCCCACAGTTGCACTCACTTTGAGAGGATACTACTCAAAGGTCTCTTGCTTTTTGCAGTCCTAAAATGTAGAAATGGAACTTGGCTTTATATCTCCTTTGCCATCCCTACCCATGGCCAGCACACACTAGGAAATCACCTCTGTGTCTGACATCCTACTTGTAACCATTCCTTTTCTTTTATCTCTGCCTGTGCTACTAAAATGTGTTCAGATAATATGTAGTACAAATGAAAAATGCCCCCAGTCTTGACTTTATCCCTCAATCTGGTCATTTTCATGGCTTATTTCTAAGTTCCTTGTTGTAAACCTCTGCCTTATTCCATTTCAACTCCCATGTCTTAAACACAGAGCTGGCACCCTGCCCTCTGGCCCTTTCTTTTCAGGTAGTCCTCTTTCCTCACACTGTTCCTCTGTGCATGCCAAGTGTTTTAGTCCCTGGCTCCTCATTTCAACTTGTCACATTTGTTTACATTTTGCTCCATCACGTGCGAATCCTACCTGAGCTGAAGGGCTTGACTTGAACTTTACGCATTAAGAATCCCACAATTTCCCCTAGGTAGCAAATGAGTTGTACTCATCTTTTCTTTATTGACACAAAGTAAATTTACATCTTTACGGGGCACAGAGTGATAACTTAATATATGCATACAATGTCTAATGATCAAATCAGAGTAGTATTTGCATTTCCTTGATCATTAATCACTTCTTTGTGTTGGGAAACTTCAGATTTCTCTCTTCCATTTCTTTATAAAATATATAATAAGTTGCTGTAAACTACAGGCACTGTACTGTGCCACCGGAGACTAGAATTCTTTTCTTTTATCTAACACGTTCTGGTAGCTGTCATCCAACTTTTCTCTACTCATTTTCCTCTTTCCCCTTTCCCTTTGTGACACTCCTCTACTCTCTATTTTACCATCTTTCTCATTAAATGTGTGTTATAAATGATCCACATATCTTTTTCTCTAATGTGAGCCTGCAAGTTTCCCTAGGAAGAACCTTTGACATTTCTCAAGCCTGCTCTCAATGTGCTCAGAATCTGAAGACACACATAGAACAGAAAGACACACACACACACACACACACACACACACACACAGAGATAAACCCCTGATTTATCAACCCCCTAAATATAAACTTTTTGATGGTAGGAAGTCCTAGTCCTGAGGGTTTCTAGCATAGGGCTTGAACTTTGGGCTCCTAGAAAACATTTAACTTTTCTGGTAACTGGTTGCTAATATTTCTATGGGGTGAGAGTGAAGATTCACCTTTCCTTCACTGTAATGTCTGTCATGGAGTTCCATCAATTGGGGTATCATGTTAAGTAGCACATTTTTATGGGATTTGTCCAGGGATGAGCAAGTTGCTCACTCAAAACCGAAGGCACCCAGTGACAATCAAGAATGCTCTTGTCTGAGAGGAGAATGCCACAGTAAATCCCCTGGTAACCATTTGGGGTGAGCATCTTTTACAGGGGATTCACAGCAGGGGACGCAGAGCTGAGACACGTAGGTGAGAAATGCCATCCCAATTACAACCTCAGAGTCCAGCCCACCCTAAGCCTCAATAGACCCAGCTCTCCAATTTACTTGAAAAACAGAGTTCTTCTCTCTACTTACACCAGTTTGAGTCTAGTTTTCTATCACTTTGCATCAACTGAGTCTCATATATAAAATAGGTATCTGTTAATTTTTTTTTTTTTTTTTTTTGGTGCCAGGGATCAAACTCAGGACCTTGCACTTACAAGGCAGGCGGCGGAACCACTGAGCTAAATCTCTGGCCCAGGTAGCTGTTAATTTTTGAAGAGATCCTTAAGGAAATAAACAAAGCTGCCATTGAAGGCCCCTGGAAGAATCCTCAACAAGGAACTATTGACACTCCAGAAAGGACCTGAATATTAATGTCAGTTTTCCAGGGAGAGCAGGCCATTTTAGTTCTGAACTTCAGTAGAAGCTGAACAAACAAGACTCTATCAACTCCTCACAAGTTCCTGTCAAACAGCACCAAAAGCAGAATACTGCATAGCAATCAATGTGAAGATATTTCATGGCATAGATGGTTTATAACTTGGTGCACCATGGAGCAATGACCAGGATGAGGGTAGATAGTGAGAGGATCAGATCACTTAAGCAGCATAGAGACACAGTGAATGAAAACCTAAGAGGAGCTATGACAGTGAATCAGCATTTATTTTCCCTCAGGACCTCTGTCTTAAACTAGTTGGACACTATTGAAATATTTTTGAGCCTGATTGTATCATTGTTCCTGAATATGTTTTCCCACTTTTAAAATGGGACCCATCAGTTAACAAAAATAATTTTAAACAAACTGAGTAGTAAGGTACTCAAAATTCCCTAGTCACTAAGTCTTAAATTTATTTTTTTAACTGCAATCCACAGTAAGAAATATATTAAAAATCTCAACCTGGGAAATATATACACCTGAGAGAGAACTTTCAGACAAGAATTCTCATTCTTTTAATGTAGATTACTTTCTGATAGTTTCATTGTTATATTGACTTATTTTTTATTTAAAGATGATCATGATCCACTAACCTGATTTCATGCTCACAAGTAAATCTTGACAGGAAGATTGAAATCTATTACCTTAGAATGGATGTGGTGGCATATATCTGTACTTCCAGCCACTGGGGAGACTGAAGCAGAAGAATTGCAAGTTTAAGGCCAACCCAGACAACTTAGTGAAACGTGGTATCAAAATAAAAAAGGACTGGGGATGGAGCTCAGTGATAGAACATTTGTTTAGCTTGTTTCAGGCCCTAGGTTCAATCAACAGTAAGAAAAAATAAAGAAACAAAGAAAGAATGGAGGGAAGGAAGGAAGGAAGGAAGGAAGGAAAGAAAGAAGGAAAGAAGGAAGGAAAGAAAGGACTAAGTCAGGAAGGATGAAAGACATAACTCAAGTGCACAATGCATTTCAGGTAATGAATATTTCATCTATGTAGAGGGTTGATCCTAAATCCCTAGAGAATTTCTCACTCTTATGAACAGGCTGCATTAGTATTGACTTTGAAGTTTTCCTTTGGTCCCAAGCTTAACAAAGGCTTTTAGGTCAGTGATCTGTTCCATGCAAGTCTTCTTCGGACATACCTCTTGTTCCTATTCTTATTTTCAAGGAGTTTTTTCCCTTCCTGTTTGCCATGTGAAAAGATTCATCCTCAGTGAAGAAACTGCAAAGGAACAAGAGGCTAAAGTTCTGGCACTTCAGTTTGCCATAAAAGTTTCCGGGAACTTTGAACATATTTTAGTTTGCTCACAGATGGTATTTCAGAAGATTTGGAGTGGGCTTCTGAAGTCTGAGTGTTTATCAAGCACCCAGGGATTTTTTTAACCCAGGGATTTTTGATGAAATGGGAGTGGCATGACACATGGTTTCCCTAGTCTCCATTTGAATATGAAGATGGAGAATCATGAATTGATAGCCAGCAACAAAATGATGGAGATTTCCTTAAAACTCAGGTGGATGCCAAGAAGGAAGAAGCAGCCAACTGCCTCTGTCTTTAGCTACTTTAAGAGTGAGGTAGGAAGGCTGGGGATTTAGCTCAGTGGTTCTGCCACATGCCTCGCAAGTGCAAAGACCCAAGTTCAATCCCCAGTAACCCCCAAAAAAGAGTGGAGTAAGAGAGACTACACACAGAGTCATTCCAGGTGCACACACCACCCACCAGCCTGTTTCCACATCAACCTAGCTGGCTCACAGTGCTCAGCCAAACAAGTGGACTTCTTTATTAAATGATAAGCAGATTTAGAACATGAAGAAGGGGCTGGGATGGGAGCAGTAAAAGCAATACAGCAGTCTTTGGTCTTGTTATTTTTAAATGTGGGAGTTCGATGTCAGATCCTAGTGTCTGCCAGCTTCCCTGGGCCCAGGAGGATTGTGTTCCCGTGTTGTGCTGGGGGAGAGGCTGGATGTTCTTTCATTATTTCCCTGAACTCCTATGACTCTACTCCAGTGAGAAGCTTTGGGCATTTGTTAGAGTCATGTTTGCTGAAATCTTTCAAAAAAGAGCAGTAACTCAGTCACTGGAGACCAGAGAAGAGAGGATGTTGGCGCTCCGGCCTTCATCCTCTGACACTTAGCTGCAGTCCACAATGTCCTTTGGACTAGGCGACTTCTAAGGTTCTTTCCAACTCGAAAGTGCCTGGAAGTCTGTGAGTTACTAGGATACAAATATAATCTAGTTCAAAGTCTTATGTAAAAAGTCGAGGAACAAAAGAAATATGTTGGAAATAAAACTTGGCCCAGGAATTCTGTGAATTCAGGTTTGTATGAGTCAGCCTGGGAAACAGCTATAGTTTGAAAAAGAGAAATCTGTGTGAGGATGGCAAGAAAACTCAACAAAAAGTCAGGACTGAATAAGATTTTAAAAAGTTTTCAAAGCCCTGAACTGCATAGCTTCTGGCAAATCACTAAATATCTCCAAGTTGGCCTCCTTATGTGAAAAATGGGAATAAAACAATTTTAAGGTGAAACATGTGTATGTGTCCAGCCATCTATCCTTTCATTTATTCATTCATTTAGCAAAATTTACTAGCAACTACTACTGACTGGCTCTTGAAGCAAGCTTTGATTGATTGATTGAAGGAAGTGATGTGAAAATGTGTGGTTCAGTGGAATGTATGATAAGTCACCATGCTGTCATTGGTCAGGTGGTTCTGAGGAAGCATCCCCCACCACAAGCTAGAGTTCAGTGTAGCAATTATTTCAAGGAATACACTTGATCCAAACATCCCCAGTCATAGTTGCCCTTATAATTTACTATATATATTCTTAGAAATGCTCTTTTTTCCCTTAATATTGTCATAAGTTCTAAATTTGATTTTAAAATGATTTTCATGGCACAGAAGGAGGACTCAGAAAACAAAGAAGATCCCAGACCACCTGGATCCAGTAGATTCTGAAGCCAGCCAGATGTTAGACTTCTCAGTTAGGTGAGCCAATATTTCCTCTTTTTGTTTAACTTGACATTCACCTTCTCTCATTAGCAAATCAAAGAATCCAATAATCCAACCTTCAAAGTTTGGCTCAGTTTATACTTCCTCAAGGGTCTCCTTTGATCTTGCTAGAACTCATCAATAGAGTACATTTTCTTCTTCTATTATTGAGATTTTCTCTTTTTTCTGGCCTGATTTTATAGATAATCATGCACATGCCTATAGCTTTCCTCTCATCAACATCAGATCATCCATTTTCAATAAAAGTTATCTGAAATATTTGTCATTAATAGTGTTACAATTAACGATTTAAATATTGTTAATAAATACAATGTGTCAGGATTAATACTAACTGATTTATATGTTATCTAATTATTAGAACATTTATATTAGAGGATTCACTGTTCTCTTTTGTAGATTAAACAAACAATAGACTCAGAGAAGTTTAATTAGCTTACCCAATTTTTTATAGTAAGTGAGCAGCAATCAGGGTTAGAACCCACTCTGAGTTAATAAATGTTATGTGTGCTTAACAAATGTTTGTACATTCACACATGCACATGTAAATGTGTATGTTTGTGTACACATATATCATTTTCATCAATATTACAGTGATCCTCATTCCACATTGTTATCTTGCACTCTATATGCTTGCCCAGCTTTTTGATTTGAAGGCCACACGTAATTGATGAAATCAGTGAGTGAATGCATTGATAAGATGGACTTGATACATAAGGAGTCCAAGTTAAATGTGAAGGGCATCATTGGTCGCGAAACATAGACCCTCATGTAGATACCCTTCTATTCTTATACCTTAGTGCTTGGTAAAAACTCTATAAGGCTACGAATTTCCGAATACAAGCTCATTTAGAGAAGAAAAAGTTATGATGGATGTGAGGTCCCCAGCAGATGCATGATAAAAGACAGAAACATTGCTATGCATGATTTTTTAATAACTACAAAAAAATCTCATGTACAGGATTTCTGCATGTGAAAATTGATAGAGTTACCAGTGCTGCTCATCTCTTTAAACAAGCAAACTCATCTTCCCTGGTGATGTTACATCAGTAATAAATTGGCTCCTCAGACATATCTGCTTGCAGGTTAGAACTGAGATTGAACAGATAATAACTTTTTGGGTAGCAATGTCTGCCATGGCAAATAATAAAGAAATGCATGACCTGCAAAGTGCGGGGTCATTGTGTTCCAAAAATATATTTTACCAGATCCCAAACCAAGTTCATTAGCTATCCAGGAAGTTGCAAAAAATGATCAGTGCATACAGGGAAATGACTCAAAAAGAAAAATCTCAATATATGGAAGTAGTTCTAAAAACATCTGGATGTAGAATATCTCCCAAAAGCTTATTTGTTGAAGTCTTGGTCCCCAAGGTAGCAATGTGCTAAGAGGGGACGTTTGGAAGGAAATTGGATCATGAGGGCTTTAACTTCATAAGTAGATTAATCTATTGATGGATTCATAATTTGATGACATTATTCAGAAATGATGGAAACTTAGTAGCTGGGGCACAGTTGAAGGTAGTGGGCCATGAGGACATGCCCTTGGGGACTATATGTTGTCACTGGCCTCTTTCTCTCTTACCTCTTTCTCAATGGCTCTCACTCTCTCTGCTTGTGGACAACATGTGGTGAGCAGCTTTGCCCAGCCACATCCTCTGCCTTATGTTTTGCTTCACCATAAGCCAATTAAAATGGAGTCAGCTGAACGTGTACTAAAGTTTCTGAAACCATGAGCCACAATTAACCTTTCTGCCACTAAGTTGTTATTCTCACGTATTTCATCACAGCAGTATAAAGCTAACAGTCTTGGTACTCAGTGCCTTTTAGAATCAACACCTAAGGCCTGGGAGTTTGGCCAAGTGGTGATGCCTCACATCATATGGAATAAAGTTGGGTTTCTGGGGTTACCTTATTAAGGGTGCCATTTTTGCAAATATCAACTCTCAATCCAGATGACTTTGATGGAGCTGCAGTAGGAAGGTAGAGGACTCTTCTATCCTGGAAAATTATTAGGTATCCTTAGTGAGCTGTATCTACCAACATCATGCAACTGCAACTAAACTAAACGAGGGAGGTGGTAGACAGAAGTTCCACAGAAAAGTGATGATATCAAGCAGAAGGAAGCCTGTCTTGGGAGCTTAAGTCTGCATTCAAATTCTTAGTCTAACATCACTGGTCATATGCACCAGATCATGTCACTTGCTTGCTCTGGAATTCAGTTGTTATTCATCTTTTAGCATTAGAGATTTTTATATCTCATAGTGACTTTGAGTCCCTAAGAAATGGTGATTAAGATCTTTCAAGTTGGGAAAGACTCTAAGTAGGAGTCCTCCCACTTGATTCAGGGTTGGATTACATTTTATTTTTACTACTAACTAGACTGCTAAACTTCTCTACGAATGTAAAACAGTACTAAAGCAGTAGCAGATATTGCATCCACAAAAGAAATATTAGATGCATTCTCAAACTAGTATCAGTGTTTCCATTGAGTGCTCACTTGGGAACCCACCAGCAATACCTGTCCCAAGGTGTTATTAGCTATTGTACTACTAAAAAGGGAAGGAAGTACATGACTAATTTCTGTCCCTTATGTGTTGTCCTCTGTGTCAACAGTTTTTGTTTTTTTCATTTTTCCCCATAGACCTGAGATAGGCAAATTACCACAAGCCTATACCAATGCTATGACTCCAAGATATTGATGCCTATCCTCTATTGTATTGGTCAAATAAGACAGCCTGTGCACCACCAACAGAGTCTCCCTGCTATCAGCACTCTCTGCTCTGTTAGCAGTGTCTGTCTTCTGCCTTTGTTTTGCCAGGAATTAGAGTTCCCCCTCTTCCTATTAGTCTCCTGACTTTAGTCTCGACCTTGTTCTTATACAATCCAAACAAAAGTTTGTCTCTGATACTCTGGGAGTGGTCCAGGGTGTCTATAATTTCCTTATTGATAACTTTCTGCACCACATTCTCCGATTTGTGTATACTGGACACTAACATGGGGCATCTCAGCAGTTTCCAGGTTCCATTCCTGGGACAGAGTGGCTTTGTGTTCTCACCCCTGACAACTAGACCTTACATTCCTTCTCTTCACATTCACGGTCCACCTTGCTAAGGTCATAGGAAGGTTCAGGTTTGAATCTCCTTGATTGTTCCTAGATATATCATTTAAAAAATTACCCTAGTGTGTTATTTTAATGAATAATTTTATATCTATAACAAATACAGCTGTATAGACAAAGGAGCCTTTTAGCATAACCGTGTCAATCTCTGGATCACTATGTAGATAGCATAACTTTTTAAAAACATAATGTCCCTGTGAATATATGGTTTAATATGGCAATAACAATCTTTAAATTGTTAAATTTAACATCTTGTTAAATTGGCACATTCTGTCCCTGAGGATTTCTTCTTTGATAACTCAAATGTATTGAAATTTTTATCTTTGTGAAGATTCTGATACACATATGCTTACAACAAAACTACAAAGTTCACAACAAACTAGACTTAATACCTCTATTCCTTTTTCTTCATAGAGTTATTAAAAACTATTTTTAAAAATGCTTTAATATTTAAAAGAAAGACGAAACAAGTACTTTTGTGACCATTGTGCCTGAAAAGGATCCTGCGATTGGAATTATTTTGACAAAAACTCTAAAGCTTTAGCTTTGTATTTTATTTTTATCCGTGACCATATTGTTGAAAATTTTAAAAAAAGAAGACAGAATTTCAGCAGATGCAGTCCTCAAAGTAGCTTAACATTCTTCTTTTATGCCCTTATTATAGAGCATTGAGGCAAGAACTCACCACAAAGTGCCTTATTTGTTATATATTGAGTAATATGGATGGGAGGAGGAAAAATATGAAACAAAACATAAAACAGGTAATTTGTGGTTCATTTGCTTGTTTTACTTTTAAAACACTTTCTAGATTGATCTTAATTAATTCAATTCATGGTTAGTAAAACAAGAGAATCAGTATGAAATACATTACAGGTCATTCCCTTTCAAACTCTTTCCCAAGAAGTAACTTCTATTATCCATAGGATACATGTCCTTCTAATCTATTTATAAGTCTTATATAAACATATGTATCTATATGTATATACATTTTAAATTTTATTTTATATGCATGCTACTACTTTTTCATTCCACTTAACAATACAAGACTTATAAATATAGACACACACATATATTCACATATATATGAGATGTATCATATTCTATAAGAATAGAAATATTTTATCCTCATGGAAAATAATTCATGTTAAGTTTTATGTATGTACAGACAAATATAGATGGTTAAATATATATTGTAGTTAATATAAATATAACATGTATTTATATATCATAGATATAAAATTATTATGATGTATAATACACTAGAGTAGTAAAATATATGGTAGATTCTATGTGAAAAGTATAATATTTTTCTGTACTACTCTATTACAAATTTAATGGAAAGGGAGTACTGGAGTTTAAATAACCAGGCCACTACTGATGGTCATTTAAGTTGTTACTAAACAATGTTATAAGTAATGTTACAATTACCACAGGGAGATAATTTAGGTGATTTTTCTGGTAAGAAACAGAAAATCAGACAAATTATCTCACATAGTGAGTTTAGAAACTGAGTTCAGTTCACATACATAGAGAAACCCAACAAGAGCTAAAAAACGAGATCCCAGACAATGTATGATCTCTTCAGCAATAATTAATTCTGCATTGAAACCTGCTCATTTGACCTTAGGAGCCAGGACATGTTGAGCTTCTCTTTGGACCCCTTTTTTCAGTCTAGCCTTTTCTTCCCCCGTATTGCTTCCTTCAGCTCACATTTCCCTTCCCCGTGGCTACTGTTCATATCTGAACCCCGTCTATCCATAGCTGAAGCTGAGTGGAAACTACTTGATTTCTGCATTTCTCCACTTGGATCACCTAAAGCACAATTTGATTGTCCTGGTGTGTGTGTGTGTGTGTGTGTGTGTGTGTGTGTGTGTGTGAGTTCATTTTCAAGGCCATGACATGGTCTTCCAACCCATGGTGTCTTTTGGTTAAATGTGCACCAAACAGGAGAGAGAGTGCAGATCTAAGTTACATCACCTAGATAGGACTTTTCCTAAGTTAGAGAGGTAGTGAGAAGGAGCATTTTCCCTGTGAAAGTGTAAACCTGGTCAACTACTCCAATCCCAGTGCCTGGGTCTAGGTGTAGCTCCCTGATAACCATCTCCCACTTAGATTCCAGAGGATGGCGTTACAGCATCACATATATACATGATATCGAAGTTAACATCCATGCTAGGCAAGTCCAGAGACACAACCTAGCTGTGCATGCACTCTGGATGTTACATTATAATGTATAAAATGGCTGTAATAACACACATGTACCACACATGTCAAGATTCAATGAGATAATGTCTGAAATATTCTTTGATAAGTTATAAAGTTCTGCACAAAGAATAAAGCTAGCTCTAAAAAAAAAAGAGGAAGATAAACAATGAGAACCGATGGCTTTTCCCAGCACCATGGTTGTAGCAGGTTTTACACATAGGATTATTCCATAATTCTTCATCAACATTATATTTCTATCCTAAGAAGAACCATTTTTTTAAATAAGGCACAAAGTTTAAAGAGCTGAATGGAAGAACTCCAGTTTCTGTCTAGAAAGCATTTTAGCTCAGATTAGTTTGAGGAATCATTAAGTATAATTCATTTGATCACCATGAAGGAGAAAATAAGGGCATCACAAGCATTGCCTGTCTCAAGGACTTCATAGCCCAATCTGTTTTCTCAGACCCCTCTCCTGGTTTGAACGGACCCTGTTCTGCGTGTTTGAGTCTATTCTTTACTCTCAGATTTAAGTTTAAGCTTGCCTCCTCATGTACTGGAACTAATCCACATTGTAGAATGGGTGAAGCTCAGAAAAGCTTCCTGTATGTTTGTCAGTAGCAATCCTCGCAGGCTGAACTCCCATAGAAAACCTAAATCTCTATAGGAATTCATTAGCTTAGTATGTCATGGCTATGTCATACATTTGGGGGCATTTAGGTTGTTTAGTAAACTCACCTTTTCCCAAAAGTTTTACTGTATGCCATTGGATCTTCTCCCGAATATCTGGAAATATGAACAAAGCCTTGGGAATTTAATTTAATTTTACTCCCCGTTCTCATTTTACACTTTCCTCAAAAACTTCTTAAGAACAAATGATTCACATAGCTGTTCGGTAGATGTAAGAATGAAGCTCTAGAAGGGCTAAATAACTCACTCAGGATGGTGAGCTAACAATAACTAGTTACCTACGCTCAAAGCCAGGTGTCCTTTCCCTCCATCTACTTCATAGGTTCAGCCCTGCATGTTGATTAATGACCTCTGCATTCGATGAGCTGAAATGCTGCAAGCATCAGCTGCGAGGTAGCACCTGAGCTGTTAGAAAACTTTTCCATTCACTAAGTAGTGTCATTTATAAATTTCCATTAGAGGGACCATGAGAAAACTGCATAAATGGCTAGAAATAATTCAAAAGAAATAATCTAGCTCAATCTAATTTTCAGACAAAGTTAAGAAGTCCACTTTATGAAAGTGAAAAAAATGGAAACAATCTGAAAATTCACCAATAGGTGATTGATTATATAAAGCATGTGATATTCATTCCATGGAATACTGCATATTAATTAAAGTGATGATGTAGATTTATATTAACTTGTTTAAAACATTATGATGATATTAATTAGACATAAAACAGGCTCTTTAAAATAATTTATGAAATATAAGTTCATATGCAAAAAAAATATTTGTGCATAGTAAAATACTGATAATGGTTATACACAGTTGTGGAAGTTGTATATTGTTTCGTTCTTACACAAGTGAATAGTTAAATAAAACTCTTTAAATCTAGCCTTAGAGCAGCAGAAAACTTACACCTATTATATGGCATTTTTCTCAAGAATAATGTGTGCAGAAAGGACAACTCTAAAGTCCAAAAACACATATGACTTCTGCATATGCTTGCCAAACACTTACATGGGTATTACATATTTTTAACCAATATTAATGAACATTTTTTTTTGCTGGTGCAGCTATACATACATGGAAATCTGCTTTGATTAGCATGGTCTCACCTCAGTCTGGTGTAGTTGTCCCTGTTCTGAACCCCCTAGATCCTTATCACCTGGTTATGTTTATGCCTCTTCCAAGTGACCATGCATGATTTCCTTCTGCCTTCCTGACACCTAGCTTAAGGTCTCAGCCTACATTGAAAACCTCATAAATACTCTGAATGTAAATCTTTGTAAGATACTTGGTACCTGAGAAATGAAGGAGATGCCCCAATAAATAAACCAATGGCACTGACGGGAAATTAGCACATGCGGAGCAGGTCAGTGGGCCAGGGTGCTGGGTAAAGATTTGAGAGATGAATGACAATAACAACAGTGGTACAGAATGTGTAAGCATTGCCTCAAGGGCTTTAAATTGGAGAGTTGTTGTCCAAGACCGGGGGACAAGCTTGCCTCAGATCCATTTTTAGAGAAAGATGCTGTATTAGTCTCCTTGGTGTTACTACAGTGAAATGCCTAAAGTGAAATACCTTTATTAAAGAAGAGGTTATTTACCTCACACTTCTGGAGGTTCAAGATCAAGGTCTTACATCTGGTGTGGGCTTCTTGCTGGTGGAGTTCCAAGGTGCCATAAGGTGTCATGCAACAAGAGACAGAGGACAGGTCTAGATATGTGCTTTCTGATTGCTGCTTCTTATAAAGGCACTCCTTTTCAGTCGTGAGATTCCACCCCGATGACTTAAATCTTAATCACTTCCCAAAGGCCCCATCACTAAATGCTGTAACAGAATTAGGTTTCAACACTCTTACTATCTCACAGTAGGGAACGCATTTCAACACATGGCCCTTTGGGGAACATACTCAAACCATATCCACACCATAGCAGATGCTTTGCTTCCCAAGTGCTTTTATTTTAGTCTTCCTGTTCTTGTTCCACAATTACTGAGCACTGTATTTCAGAATCAAGGGTACTGGGTTGAAAGCAACAAATTGACTTTTTTTGGGGGGGATGAAGTTTTTTCTGCTCAAAGCAGATAGAGGGATACTTTAATAAGTTGAATTCTTATTTATTTTTAGTGAGTTACTGTTAGCTTTTTTTTGCTCTTTGACTTCATATGGTTAGAATTACATGGTACATGAATTCTCTTGTGTTTGATTTCTTTTACTGAGTAAAACATGTTTGAGATTCATCTGCATTATTCTATGCCTCACTGGCTTGTTCCTTTTATATTGTTCTACCACTTTTTAAAAAAATGATATACCTGTTGGTGGATAAGTAGGTTATTTCCAGTTTGGGGCATTTTTAATAAAATTGCTATAAATTTTCTTGAACAAGTTTTTCTGTGCACATGTTTTAATTTTTCTTGGATAAATAACTCTGCCTGTAGAGGCAATGAGTCACAGGTTGCCCCTAGAAGTTGATGAAGATGAAAGTGCACTGGGAAGGGGCATGAGAAACCTTACAAGGGTGATGTCGTATGCTAGATCTCGAGAAAGATTTGATTTCACAGGTGTATAAATTTAGAAAAGTGTATTGAATGGATACACTTAAACTTGTGCATCTCAATGCATATGTACATTTATCCCAAATGAAAGGAACCCTAAAAATATTGTACTTTAATTAATGTTATGATGCTGAAATATTTGGGAGGAGTAATAGTACTATCAGAAACAATTTGAAATGCAACAAAAAATAAGGTAGATGGATGACCAATAGATGGTTGGGTAGATACATGCTAAAACAGTAGCAAAGCAATTATAGGACGTAAGTGATGGGTACCTGGACAATCATTGTATCATATATTCAAATTTTTGTGAGATTGAAA